CCCCCCCACTGTACCCTACCTTTTGAAGAGCTCGTTGGCTTATTGTTGGCTTACCTTTTGTCGTTCTGAGGTGGAGAGGTCTCCAGACACATGGGTCCAGGCGCGGTGTGTTCGAAGCGGCGCGTTCGTGGAGGGAGGGATGGTGCGATATCGACCCTCCAATGGACCATTTTGTGACCATTGTGACCACAGGCATCCAAGAGGGTTAGGACAAATGAAATGACTAGGACCTTAGGAGTGAAAGCAAGCACCTTTTGTCAATTGTTCTACTGTTTTTGCAAACCGCTCTAGAAAAGTGGTGGACAAGTACTGTTACAAAGTTTTACTATTGGATATGCTGTGGAGCACTGTAGAGTAGAGTACGTAACTTGCTGCTTTTTGGAAGTCTATGACAATCTCACATGAAGATGGTAATTAATTATGTACTCGTTGCCAAACCAACACAGCAAACAAAAGGAAGGAGGGGTAGAACGAGCCCGACTAAACACCAATCTTGTCACCAGCAACAAATTCATGCCTCACTAACAGATAGATGAGCGTAGTTTGTCCGGGGAGATCCAGACCCAGTCAGAAATGCCTTCCCTTGCTTTCACCCCACGAACCATGCGGATGGCCTGCTGCCACCCCAAAACACCAAGTTGTCCAAGTCATTAGAATGGGGTGACCAATGGTGGCACACAAATACATCTGTTGAGGAGAACATGTTGTTGCAAACATATGCTTTACTTATTTAGCGACTCCTTGCCACTTCAGTTGCTGTTGGGTCCTTTGAATCCTTTTGAATGTGGATGATGTTGGATGATGTTGGATATATTTGGATCCGAACTGGTGAAAGCATTCTTAGTAACAAGAAGCTATTAGAAACAAGTGCATCGCTACTAGTAACAGGTGCCTTATTAGTAGTAACAAGAAGCTAGGCACATGTGCGGAGTTTGGAATCACTCTTTCCAAACACCATCGATTCCACACCGAACGCCATGGCCGACCTCCCAGGGCCTTACTCCCAGTATGGGCAGCAAGCTGCCATGCGCCGTGGCATCCTGCAGCGCTATGCCGAGTCGCATGACAGCACTGGGACCATCTGTGTGGCTTTTCGATGCCAGTCAGACCTATTGCGAGAGACAACGGTTCACGACTATTCCGACCATTCCCCCAACGGGCGGGGTGTATCACTGATTGCAGACCCGTTACTATGGGTGCTTGGAAAAAGAAAGAAGAGGAACTACCAGGGGTTACTGTGAGTGAAAATCAATGCGGAGTTCACTCACCGGAAAAACGCGTGTAAGTGAGATACTCACGTTTCAGAAGGTCCATGGCACCCGAAGATGTTCATATGGGGTTCCACATAAACCACCGACCTTGGGGACTGTGCCATGGGCCCTTTGAAACCACTGTAAGTACAATGACATGTTAACTCCAACTGTTTGAAGTTGTGAATTTGTTCAGGTCCCCAATGCAAGTATCAATGCATTCAGTCCGTTCCAAAAGGAGTTCATTCTGAAACATTCCATGGTTCACCGTCCATATCCTGTGGCCTTGGGAGCCAAGAGAGAAGAACTAGACCCAGAACATACTCTTCCAATCTCTTCCAGCTTTATTGGTTCAGGGTACATAATCTTTTGCACAATGTGTTTGCTGCAGAACGCTTACTTTGTGTGTTTTTTGCGGAACGCTCATTTCCATGATCACTTGCAGTTTAGTGCTCCCCAAACCTGAACTGGCAGTTGGTCTTCGGGTTGGCCAAAGAGTTTGGGTTGGGGATTTCAACCAAGAGTTCCAAAGGGGTTGTAGTTGTGCTTTGCTACTTTTTGCTACTACTTGCTACTGTGGATTCATGGCCTCATTAATATGTGTGTGAACAGACATGATTATATGCTCGGGATGCCTGTTTAGCGTATGGTCCGGTCACCAGTCTTTGGGACCAAAGTGATTCTAGATGATGGTTTTTAAGCATGTGAATTGTTTCAAAGCACTTGGGTTTGAGTGCTTGACTTCATGGATGGACCCACCGAAAAACCGTTGGACTGGGTGAGAAGTCCTAGTGCAAGACATCAAGGTCTCCGGTGGTCCACAGCCCTGAAGGGTGGTAATGTCATTGGTGAATTCGACTCAGTTTGTGTGGTCTTCAATTGTGATGAATGGGTGGAGTCATGTGAAACTGGCCAAGTGAAAGCATTTAATTTTCAATCATCACTGGCCACTGGCAATTTGTTTAAACCCCCTTGGTCAAGGACTTGGTCGCTTGGCAACCGATGCTAGACATCTCCGATCGCGGAATCCCAGGATCGCGGCCGCCGGGCCCGCGGCCTTTGGCCTAGGCCCTTCAGCGTGGGGCACCGGACGACGGGTCGTTAGGTGCTTGGGTGGCTGACTGTTTTCGTTTTCTGGGTAATCTGGGTGCGCCTTTATGGCCCAGTGCCTCTTACTGTCCAGTACTTTTGTTGCTAGAGGGGAAGGCATACCATTATCAGACACACCAATCTTCCTGAATTCAGAAGTGAAGGAATCTATAGGAAACATGCTTCCACATAGCACTGTGTGCACATACTTTCTGCGAACAGAGTGCCTGATGCGACCTGGGTGTGCATTACGGTCATAGTGGAGCATGTGACAGTTTCCACATTGAAGGCTCAAAATTAGGGTTTCATGATGTTTCATGATATCGTCATCGAGGAACCCTCAGTTTGGCACTGTCTAGAGGAGGAGTTAGTGAGGATAGACCACTAACCCATGCCGGGGGTTTGGGAGTCAGTCGTGAGCCACAGACCTTTGTTTCAGGTGCTGCCGCTGGTGCTGATGGCTTGGGTTCAGGAGCGCCGAGCGCCGAAGAGGCTTCTTCGCCGACACTACGATGCGGGTTGAAGTACTGACCTTCATTGGCAGCCCCCCGCACGAATGGATGGCGGACCTTTTGGAACATCCTGGAACTTAATTTCGGCGATGTTTGTTTGACCATGCAGGACCATGCAGGACCTATTTCTGGTGCTTGCGAGCCAAGCACTGAATATTTAGATTATTTGGGATGTAGGTTCTACCTACCGAACACATTTATGCTAAACAGAAGCTACTACTAGTCAAAGACGACAGTGGAGACACATACTTTGGCCAAAGTCAGCCACCCCTTGAATGCATATTGCGAGACATGGACAAATGTCGTTCAATTCATTTGCAGCCCTGCAGTTGAGGGCACAAGTCAGACTCATCAGTCATAGAAATTAGTCTGAGGTACAGGTTCTAAATTGACAAGTGTCCTGGGTTGCCCAGGAGTGTATGGAGCTGGGGATTATGGCCCGTTAGGCTGCGATGGAGCATTGCGCCTTGGCTTCGATATGCTTCACTTTCAATGCAAGAGACCCTCATATGTGGCCGTTTGGATGTAGGAATTGATGTTTGAAGGAGCACTGAGAGCTGTCAAATGATTTTTGGGGTGCCTTGTGACTTGTTAAGCTGACATAGAAACATGGGCTTCCTATTTTCAATGTTGCACATTGACCCAGGTAGACCTAGGAAAACCACTTTTGAGGAGAAACGTGTCCAGAAAGCTGTTGGTAGATAGAGCTATTGGTAGTCATGAGAATAGTTATATAATTATGTAGACAGTATATATATATACCCACGTATACCCTAAAAGGTTCATGGACTGATCTACCGGACTATCTACACGTACCCATTGTTTCAGGAAGGTTTTGTTACCGGAAGGGTTTCCAGCCCATGCCTCATGACAGTTCCCCGCCCGAGGTTGAGGAGTTTGGCCGTGTGCCAGGCCCACTGACGGGTCAGATGGGTTGGTGCCGGTTGCGGTGCCTTCTGCTGGGCCAAAGAGAGGTGCTTTGAATCGGAAGTGCCGGATGCCTTGAATGCAGAGCTTCGTGCCAAAAGCAAAGGGGGGGTCGCACGGAGCTGTACAAGGTATTGAAAACCGGTGGACAGCCTACAGTGCTTGTCATCCGATAGAGAGAACTTGATGAACCCGTTCTTGATGCCTGGGTGCTTGCACTGCTTGAGAATTGCTGTGGACGTCAATGAGTGCAAGCAATCAAGTAATTAACAAATCCCGTCTTTCTTTAGAGTTCAAGAGAATCATAGGAGTGGGGTTGATGGCAACGTTTATGGTCCTGTGAAGCCTTGCCGGCCCAACATAGGACTTGCAATGTGAGGTCCCACGAGAAGCTACCTGAAGTATCCAGAGACCAACAGCGTTTGACTTAGAGATCGATTTGATATTATTTGACATGTTGAAGACATGTTGCATCCATGTGCAAAAGGAATCCACCCCATTGGCTCCACTGTCAGCTTAACCGGATTTATCACTGCAACGGATTAACCAAGCTAGGGTTTTACCTACAAACATATTGATACTGCCACCCTTGGGGTCACTTCTCTTCACCCAACCCATCACCTTCACCCACCAACCCCCAGCTCCACCAGCCACCTAACGTCACCACCAAATCCTCCTGCTTCTTCCTCCAGCGTCGGCCTGCTCCCTCGGCCATGGCGAGCCATGAAGTTCGGTCAAAATCTTCAAGAGCACATCCGCCGCTGATGCTCGGCACAGAATCACAGTGCATGCCATACTCGAATCATCTGGTTTCCACAACCCCAGCCCTACTCCCCCTTTTGGGGGTTTTGGGTGACCTTACAACGTACAACGATACCACGAGAGCAGTGTTTTGGTGGGTGTTCTCTTGGATCTCAGGAGTTGGCGGTTGGTCAGAGAATGCAAAGAAAAGCGGTGCAGCCATCACTTTTGGGGTTTGTTTGAGGATGCTTGGTGCACTTTCAAGATCCCCAGGGCAAGATTGAGTAGAGATGAATTATCTCAAATCATGCTATATACTATATAAGTTAATTAACATAAACATGAGCCACATGTAGTTCCAGACACCGAACGGAACCTGTTACTTACAAAAACATCCCATGGATCTTGAAAAAAAGACCGTTGTTTGGACCGGTTCTGAGGCGAGGCGAAGTCGCCACCCTGTTCAGGGGAAGACTACGTGGACTACAAAAGTTTGAAGCAACGGATCAAGTGCCTCGACCAACAACCTGGGATCTGGTGGGCTCCGAGACCCGGATGGAGGGCCTCCATGATGGAATTCGTCGCCGTGGCCCGTCCAAAACACTTATATACGTTTTAGACAAATAACCCAGCGCCTTGGAGTTTAAAGGATGTAGGTCCTAGGTCCTATGTGTCCAGGATTTGCTTAAAACATTAAATAACATGAAATAATGAAGAGCAAAAGACAGGATTTCCCATGGTGACTGTGCGACTGAACTATGGCCCAAAATTATGTGGACATATTCCGACAACCAAATCCTTTTGGTAGCAAAAGATCTCATTGAGCACCTGCCTATTTCCGAGTCACAACATATTGTTTTACATTGTTTTACTGAAGAGACATATTTTACTACCTATGGAACCCAAAACAAACGAATTTGTCGTGTTAGATGGACAACATTGTGTTTTGGCTCCACTTGACTAAAAACATTGTGTTTCTGTCGAAAACATAATGTGTCCAAAAGCACTAAGTTTCGAACCCGTATAAAACCGTAGAAAACCCGTAGAAAACCATAGAACACCCGTAGAATCCGTAGGCAGTCGTATTGTTTTGAGGAAGTCAACAAAACTCGTGTTTTCTTTAAAAACCTCGTGTGTTTTCAGGGTATGACATTTTTAGGGGTTCTTGGTTCTCTAGGTAACTGTTTTTGTTAATTGCTGACGTCGTTGTTTTCAGTTGTTTCTTCGAGTTCATCGTCTTCCTGAGAAGAGAAATTTGCTGAGTGTGCGCTCCAAAACCTTAACGTAAAACGACGACGTATAACAGGCAACGGGGGGATACGGGGGAGTCTACGTCTAAACGTCGAGTCGTTTCGTTTCTTTTAGAGTCGACGTCGCCCCACACAGAAAAGATGATCCATCCCTTCAGACTAATCCCAAGATACCCGTGCGAATTTCCTCTACAAAATCGATGACTTGCCCAACCCACCCACTTAATTGGAAGGGGGATGTCCCAAGTGACTTGTACCGAAGGGGGCCGCTCAAGCCGAATCCTTAGGGTGGATGGACACAGAATCCACTCGCAGCCCTTCAGGAATGGATGTACACAGAGCGACTTTCAGGCCCGGAAGCCTAAACACGCATGACTCATGACTATGACAATTGTAATGGTCATGGATGGAGCCCAGGCCTCAATGATTACGCAAGACCTGCAAACAGTTGGGGAGTAGGATGAGGAGTTTCGCTCAATCTTGTGAAGCTGTCATGTCTTGCTGGCTTTGTCAAGTGTCCGAAGGAGCAAGGAGCAACGTTTGCAAGTATCATTTCAGGCACTCAAAAGAAAGCACCGACATGAACCTGGACACCCTTTGGACATCCTTTTGACCTTGACCACCAGACATCATCAGACCTTCCAACAACCGCCCTTTTTGGGGGAGTCCCAGACGTCACCCATCGAACGGCAGGAAAACTATGGCTTGGAACTCTCGAAAGTGAGCTCCAGGCTCTCCGAGGGCTCGGTGCTCTCCCGAGATCCCCACTATGCCGTGATGAACCGGCAAGCGCTGGACAAGATTAGCGGCTTTGGCGTCCAAGCAAAGCTTTTCTTGCAACAAGGAGCTACTATGGGCTCCTGTCATCGCTACTAGGAGCAAGGACCCTTCTAGGGGCTCCTGGCCGTACTACTAAGAGCAAGAAGCTACTAGTTGGCGGAGGGGACCTGTGAGGTGTAGATGGGCTGTGGGTGATGGAAGGTATTGGGTTTTGAGCCCGTCGGTAGAGCCAGCAGAGATTTGTCACGATACCGAATCCAGCAAGCTACCAACTGCCCTAGCTGCCCCTTGAGAAAGCTGCTTACTCTGTTGTGCCTCTTTAACATGCCAGGCTCCACTTAGAACGTAAAGCTGAGGTTCCGCTTTACAATCTTGCCAGCTCCGAGGTAAGAAGTTTGACAAGCAACTGAAGGGCCGTGTCAGGGCGGCGAACTGGGTCACCACGACCTCTGACTGACTTGGGCGGCGATAGGTGTGGTTATGGTGTGGTAGTGTGGTGGTTGTGTGTGTTTTTTGTTGTGTATTTTTAAGTGTAGTTATTGTGTTATATTATATAATATAGTCTAGCTACTATGATTATTTTTAAGTTGTCTTTTTGCAGTAAGTAGCATGTCGTAGATCGTGTGTGTGTGTGTGTTCAATCATTGATTGTTTCTACATGTTTTCACAAGTACGAAACACTTGCCCATGTTGTCGACTGGTTCTGCTTGCTGTTTCACGAATCATGTTTAACTGTTTGTGAGATCGGCTTGCAAAACATGGTGTTTATATATAGCCGCTATCGTACCCCTTGAAAAGAGCATTGTATACATCACTAAATTGCATAAGATAGCCTGCATCACCCTAAAGAGTGTTTCAAGAAACTTTCCAGGTTTTGTGTCGCTCAGGTTGGCAAAGTCACTCGGAGGTCTTCAGGTGGAGGATGCCTTTATCCCACCAGAGCCTTGACCTCACCTGGAGTTCTGCATAGTTCTGCCTTTTGATTGCAGAGGTTTGGGGTGCCAAAGCATCAATTTACAAAATATTACACAATTGTTGATTTTTCTAAATGGATTTTGCTCGGTTCTGATATATTGGTTTGCAGAGGTTTGGCGAGACGTGCTCACCAACTAACAATATATATCATATATGGGAGGTGAAAGATGTTTTGAGTCTCAAGGGCCACCGGATGTTGACAGCAGTTTGAATCACCCTGTAGAATACTGTAGAATCACCCTGGCATTTGAACGTGCTCATGATTCATTATAGCTTTGCTGTGTTGACCTACAGGACGTGATGAGCATGTCCCATGTTCACATATCTAGTCCCTGGCCGCAAACACAACTCTTGAAGACAGTGGCGGACTGCGCGACAAAGCCCACTATCATACTGGCCGTATCGAGTTTGTGAGAACTGTTTCCTTCAAATAGCAATCGCCTCCACCCTACTAGCGATGGCCTCCAACCGCTGAGAACTTCAGGACTTGCGGCCCGCGAATGGGAACCACCCACCGGCGCTGCGCTCGGCGGCACTGCGCTCGGGCTGCATCATCTTCTTCGCCGGTGGCTTCTCAGGGATCATGTCCCGCACACTAACGGCGCCCTTGGACGCTGCGATGGAAGTGAACCGGGCAGTCCGGTGAAGGGAGGGCTCTCAATGGGGCGGAAGACGTACCGGTTACAGGTGCAGGTTATGGTCAGATATCCACAGTAATATTGTTGTTTGGGGTTGGTGTTCAACGGTTGGACATGGGGCTTACAGCAAGGAACCATGGGAGTTTCATATTTGATGAGGAGCCACAAACCATTTCCTTGGATTGAAGGATAAGTTTTTGCTCAGGACTGAGGGCCTCCATCAGCCACCTGCATTTCTACATTGGGTTCAGCGATCAATCATAAATTGAATAGGCCGACATGGGTCATATATAGTTAATTATAGGTTAACTATATTTAATATTGTCATGTATGGTCCATTATATAGATCCAGTTGTCTTGTTTTGGCTCACCTATGCATGCTACAATGCGAGCCTCCGCACGGCATCCCCAATGGCCAAGCAAGACCATCGAAAAATAATGAACTGTTCATTACATTATTTCCGAGAACAAGCAAGCGGTTTTGGTTGGTCCCACGCTTTCTCCACTCCAGATGACTTCTATGTGTAGCAGCCTTTCCCTTGCTGGAGCCAGTGTTTCGACCTCCAAAACCTATGGGCACATTTCTGGAACTTCATATGATGGTATCGCTCTTTTACAGGTTTTGGATGATTTCAATGAAATAGTTCCTGTCACATAAAGATTTGCGCACACACCCTTTAGAATCCTTTAGCCTTCGAATGTTGCTCAATGTGTTGAATTTTGGTGCAGCAGAGGATCGGATCAAGATCATGATGCAGGCAGGAAATGCTCCGCCCCTGAGCCGCACACGGCATTTTGCATGGTATCACACAGACATGTGATAACACGTGCACATGCATGATACCACATGGGCGATGGCTGGATTTGGATGCCGGGGCAGGCTCCAGTTTTGGGGCCTGCAAGCAGCCAAGGAACCTGAAAGGTCATCAAGCTTCACTTCGCTGGGATAGCTCCTCCGGGACAAAGCTCGGAAAAGTTGCAGATGTGCATTTTGAACGTGCACGAACCAATGCTGCAGATGTTCGTTTAAACTCTCTCCAACCAACATGCACTTATGTATAAAGTATCATGAAGCGTTGTGAAGCAGTTAATAGGCCTGTTTGAAAGTCACACGACCCTTCATTCATGTCTACAGTAAATCAACTAAGTAACTATAATCAGGTATAATAAGGCATATTGTGTCTTTTTCTATTGATTCTCATCGTTTCGAGGGCATCGCTACTAGCATCACCTCGCTTTTTGCCGGGTCCTCCGTTCGACACGGCAGGAAGCTCCGCGGAGCGGCGCGGGCCATTCTTCGGGACGGCGGCCTGCGGGCGTTTTGGCAGGGCAACGGCGCCAATGTGCTGAAGGCCGTGGAGGAAGTGGGGAAACGTGTGTTGGCAGAACCAATGAGCAGGGGACGTTTATAGGGTAGAAATGCATGGACATGCAATAGACGTATATATAAATCCTACCCCAAAGCCCTTTCCCCGTGGTTCCTGCTCATTGGCTTTGCCAAGTTGGATCTAGTTTGGAGTGATGGAGATGTTGACGGGGTCCAATGTTTCAACTTTGCATGTGTTGTAGATTGTAGCTTTCTGAGGCAACATGAGTCAGGGATGCCAGAACTTTTGAGATGCTTGGGCTGCCTTTGGCACCTTATCCACAAGTATCCCAGTTTCCTGTCAGAATCCTTCCATTGTAAGGATCCAGTGACCCCCATCGCTCCAGAAGAAGTGCGGGCATGATGCGCGGCAAAAAGAGTCCCACCCCCCGGCCCCTCAGCGTTAGGGCCGAAAATCATCTCATTGGGACTTGAAAAGTGAGAATCCGTCAATGGGACATATTTCACTAGGAACAATGCCATATGAAAATTACACCCCCGGTTTGATGGGATGTTGACGCACATCAAACGTGAACCAAATTCAGCCGGGGCTGGAGCCTTCACTTCGCTTCACTTTGCTTCACTTCGCGTGTCTTTTGGTGTAGTAAGGTGATGCCAGAGTCAGCCGTGAAATTCCTCGTCTATGACAAAGTCAAGGACAGGGTGGCGCCAGCAAACACAGGCTTGCTTAGTGGACACACATAAACGCAGAGTACAAAGGGCCTCAAATCCATGTTTGAGGAGGAGCCCTTGTCATCACTTTCCTATCTAGTGGCGCGCCACTATCAACCAATTGAACTACCTATAATCAACCATATTACCTGTATCTACATATACCTACTATATCCCTACTTATATATAACATGAATATGATATATTTGCTGCGCTCCAAACCAGGCGCTGCAGTGAGATGATGTCCAATCAACAGAAACCCCATGGTTCAAAGGCAAAAGGAAAGACAGTCATACCAGTGGCACATTGGGTGTATGGGTATGTGTAGGTATGACATGGTATGACTCATATGATGCTTGATGATGCTTGCCTTTACCACCTAATTATACAAGCGCACAAACAACAAGCAAACACGACACACCTTCATCCAGTAAGTGACTACTGCCTACTGCACCCTCGCAGCCCTAGCAATGACGTAGCACATACGGTTTGTCCTTGGCTTTGTTCCTGGGCACGTGTCACTTGTGGAGAAAACTACCTGTGTCGCTTAAGAACTACTTGTTCATTGCAAAAACAATAATTAACTATATTAATTGGAAGCTTGAAAGACAAGACCCCTTTGGAAGGCCCGAAACTCCGTAAAAAATACCCAAAAAACACATAAGAATACTCTGTGGCTAAAGCATGAAGCAGACAAAACACTATAAGACTTGCCGAAGGAAATCCCCGACCACCAAGGGCTACTATCAACTGTAGCGCTGCCCTTTGTTACTAGCTTCTTGCTCCTAGTAATACGGCCAGGAGCCCCTAGTAGCGTCCTTGCTCCTAGTAGCGATGCCAGGAGCCCCTAGTAGCTTCTTGTTACTAACAATAACAGGCACATCGGGATTTCATGTTTCACCGACTCCGCCTGTCTCCGCCAGGACGCTTTGGGAACGACAGCTGGATGTTCGACGCGCTCGGTGTCACTGCCGGTCTCGGAGCGCTTGTTGGCGGGGTCGGTGGCGGGATGCGTCTCCCAGCTCGTGGTCTATCCTTTGGATGCCACTTGGCTGGGGGCTGCCAGAGTGGGTCAGTCAGATCCGTGTCATCCATGTCGGTTTGTGTGACATCAAGTGATTTTGTTCGATATTTTTCTTGGTTTACTCGCATGCCTTCGTCAGTTTGTTCTACTATACTTGTTTGCTGCTTGCCAGCCTAGACTGTACAGTTCATGTCACTGGATGAGGCAACTTGTCAGAGTCAGGTGCGACAACTGAGTGTGACAATTGATTGGTTACGATTACAGACCCAGGAAAGAACCAGAAAATCAAGCGCAGTGAACTTTGGGCGGTCGCCTGAAGCCTCACTAGGTCATCAAAACTCGACTTGCTGCCGCACCAGCAGGCTGGCACGGGCTCGATGGGGTCTGAGGTTCTCCGATCACCATTGAATTCAGGCACTGTGCACAGTCTCGGTTTGTTCCAAATTCGCATCCATTTCTTATCATTTCTTGTCTACGTGTTGCTGCAGGTGCTTACAATGGCATCTTTGATTGCATCCAAGTGACCGTCTGGAAAGAAGGAATCCAGGCACTCTACAAGGTGCGGCGGCAGATCCCCAAAGTTCATGAAGAGCAGCCATGGGCCATGAACAGGCCTTCAGGGGAAGAAAATTTGGATCCCCCTTCAGTGTACCCCCAGGCCCCCATTCCAAGTTCCATGTGCTTTTCTGATCGCGCCAGACCTCGGGCTCAACACATCTCACATCATTTCACACCCCTTGAGTGTACCTCGTTCAACAGACCTTTTTCATCTCCAGACCTCCGCATCTCCGGGGATGGTCGGGTCGCCAGGGCTTGTGGCCGGCCTTGCTGGCCATCATCCCGGCGTCCGGCATCGATTTGGCCGTGTACCATACCCTCAAGGCAGGACCATACCGGGAGTTGGTAGGAACGAAATGCTTGGAGTTGGTAGGTCGTTGGTGCAATTTGGTGGATCGGTGGATCGGCGGATCGGCATTTTGAACGGAACAAATCTGGGAGTGGTGCGTTTGTGCAGCATTCAAGACATTTCAAGACCATCCGGTACATCATCAAGGCTGAGACAACCTTTTAAGGTAAGGTAGTGTAAGCCCGTAAGCAAAGGCTTGAGATGGCTTGAGTTGCAGTTTTAGACGTGTTTTGTTACATGGTTTTGCACTGCATTGCAGTAGACTTGAACACGTTTTCGTTCTGAGAGATTGGTGGTGGTGGTGGGTCTTTGCAGTTGGGCGCTTTTTTTCCCACCTGCCAGGTGAGGGTTGTTAGATTTTATCACAGTTGTTCTTCCTCCGCCTCCGCCTCCGCTGCCTCCTCGTCCTCCTCCTTCCTCCTTCCTCCTTGCTTCCTTCCTCGCCAATCTGCTTCGCCGATCTTGTCTGGCCAGCTCCGGATCGCAGTGTGCACCCCTGGACCTCAACCGCAAGGATCCGATCGCAGTGTGCATCCCTGGACCTCAACCGCAAGGATCCGATCGCAGTGTGCACCCCTGGACCTCAACCGCAAGGATCCGATCGCAGTGTGCACCGCTGGACCTCAACCGCAAGGATCCGATCGCAGTGTGCACCGCTGGACCTCAGCCAGATAGTTTGCCAGATAAAATGCCAGGTAGATTGCCAGATAGAGTGCTGCAAGAAGATATGCCAGATAGTATGCCAAATAGTGTGTCAGATAGATTGCTAGATACATTGCCAGATAGAATGCCAGAAAATATGCCAGATAGAATGCCAGATAGAATGCCAGATAAAATGCCAGATAGAATGCCAGAAGATATGCCAAATAGAATGACAGATAGTATGCCAGACAAAATGCCAGATAGTATGCCAGACAATATGCCAGATAGTATGTCAAATAGATTGCCAGATAGAGTGGCAGATTGAATGGCAGATAGTAAGCTTCAAACTTCAAACACACAACCACAAACACATCCACAAACACACAACCACAAACACAGCCACAAACACACAACCACAACACACACAAACACAAACACAACCACAAACACACAACCACAAACACACA